TGGAAGTCTTATGTCACAGAACACAGAATCCATTACAAACTCTACATATCGAATTTTAAACGATTACTCTAAAAAATGTGGCTACAAATCATGAGAATGGAGAATATCGGTATGGCCCATTCACGAATATAATCTGCCTACTGACAAAACACATATGTGCCAAATTTTAGCCTTCCATCTAAATTCGACTTAGAATTTTACACTGATCAAAGATATATATAATTTGTTGGGTCTAACAGGAGTATTTCGATGAGTAAACGGTATGAAAACACACAAGCCTTTCATATCTGATTAAAATCCATGGCTTTGATATAAAACATAAAAACTAATTTGAATTATACTTTAAATACTCTATTTGTATAACTTTAATAGTTGAAGTTGTTCCAAAATCGCATGAAATAGTACAATTTCGTGAATAGAAATAATGCATGTTCCTTCAATCTGCATTACATATATATTTCTAAATTAATTCGTTACCTGATTTATACAACATTGGATACCTGAAATAAAAATAAATAAAATATAGTCAACAATTTGTTTATAATATAAAACATTTCATAAGCTATTACTAATACTCATATAAAACATATTAAAAATATTTTCCTCCTCAATATCGAAAAAAGTGCAAATCAATGAGTTCAATAAACAAAACTGGAATCTGTGACTCTCTGCTTCATTTTATTGTTGAGAAAAAAAAACCTACTCGTATTTAGGTCACCAAACAATAGACCTCACACAATTTTCACAATTTCACACATCGCAATACAAATATTTAACGCCTGAGAAACAAAATAGGGAACTTTTTTTAAGGTTGGGCAAGAAATTTCGAAATCGAAAATGGGCAAATAAAAATTGGTTTTGTTTTCATTTGGGCGACGATTGCAACAAGTGTAGATGAAGAAAAAAGTATGGCATTGATGACGCTAACAACAACAGTCATTGCTTCGAATGATGAAATGTGCCTATTTGTATTTACTTGGCTAAGATATTTGCTTTTTAACATAACGACCAATATAACCAATATTACTTGTTTGCGAGGAGGGTAAAATTCCCTGTAATAGAAAAAGTTAATAAATGGTAATTAGATTGGATTGCGACCTTGGTCAACCATTATTCAAATTCTTACGGCGAAAGTGTAATTCAATAGATAAGAGATGTGGGTTGTATTAGAATGAAGTGTGTCATATTGCATATCAGGGTTACCAGGATTGCAATAAATGTGGGATTCACTTATTGAATTTGAATATGTACGACCACTAGAAAAAAAAAAAATATTGGCGTATTTTGAAGGCGATAGATGCATTTTCCACAGAGGAGTGAAATCACAAAAAACGGGGATTAATTGAAACAATGAAATTCGTCTTTTGGAATAAATGTTTTTAAACTAATATAGAACACAAAATTCTACTTTAGTGCCGAAAATTTCAAAGTCATACTTTCTTTAATTATCCCCTACACTACATAGTGTCAGTCTGTCCGTCCATGTGTTCTTGTGAAGAAAATGCAGGTCGCATTTATTTTCCGATTGAGATGAAATTTTGCAAACAATGTTTGTTTGGCCTAAGGACGAACCTTATTGAAATTGGCGATAATCGGACCAGATTTAGATATAACACCCACATTTTTCACATAAAAGTTATAGTATATTTCACCCGCATAAGGTTATTCGATGACCATCAAAATTGGTAGGCTTTTGTCCACCCGTAAATCCCAAAATTCAGAGTAGCTTGGTGTATAATTGTGTCCTCTATTTTTGGTCCATTTTAACCCCTAAATATTTTGCGATCTTCCAAAAAGGATCTCCAAAAGGAGATCGACTCAGCTCAGCTAGATATGGAGAACCCTACATAAATCCTATAAGCATGACCAATATTTGGAGGTGTTATATAATTTTTAATCCAATCAAACTTATAATACCCCCCAATACATAGTGTTGTAAGGAAAACAAATAAAAAAGCTATAAGTTCGGCCGGGCTGAACTTTGAATACCCTCCACCATTTGGAACGAATTTGGTAAATTCCAAAAAAAATCCGTTAAAAGTTTTGTTAAATCTTAAAAGTACCGATTGTAGCCGTTATATTAGGGTCTATGGGACGAGGCAACTTTTGTCATAAGCCATTACAATATCCAAATGCAAAAATTCAAAAAAATCTGTAAATTATGTAAATATAGCTACACCAAAACGCGGGCTTCCACAGACAATTTTCTGTCATAGGCTGTAGCATATATTACGAATTTAAAATACCAAATTCGAAACAATTCCGGTGAATTATGTCGCTAAAATCATCAAAGTAACGAATATCGTGAGGTACAGTTATATTATTATATTTTACAATTTTTTTAATTTTTTTAAATTATTAAAATGTAATTATATTAGGGGATATAATTGGTTTTTTATGTTAAAAATAATATTTATTTTATATTATTATAAATATTTTATAAAATTATATAGGGGTATATTTATATAAAATATTTATGATAAATACATTTATATAAATTTATTATTTAATTATATTATAAATATGATTAATTAATTGAATTAAAATACGAGAACCTGGACTTGCACAGACAATTTTCCGTCTTAGGCTTTAGTATCCATGACGAACTTTGAATACTAAATTTGAAACATTTCCGGTGAATAATGTCGCTAATATCACCAAAATACCGAAAATATGGAGGTACCATTATATGGGGACTTTACCAAAACGTGGACCTACATGACCTATTTTCAATACCAAAAGTCCTACAAACATAATATACATTTGAGTAAAGTTTTATCAACCTTTTTCATTTCGTTCGGAAGCTAGAGTGATTTTCACAGACGGATATCGCTAAATCGATCGACGGGGTCTACGACAAATATTTAGGGATGTTACAAACAGAATGACAAAGTTAATATACCCTCCTTTACAATGTGGAGGGTATAAAAATGGTGAAATAAATAGTGACCAATATTCCGCTTCCTGGAGCAGTATAGCGTAACATTGGGGCCAATCGTAAAAATTATAGCATTTTCTTATAGGAGGATTATTTTTGCGTCACCTTGTATAATGTAAATAATATTTGCACTGATTAAATGTAAAATGTGTGAATATGAGATATATCGATTTAACACATCTGGTACCTTCCACACAAAAGGTAAACATTTTGAAAACACATTGAATTTGATTCACACTTTCCGAATCCTTCGCTTCAAAAGGACACAATTTATATAGTCATATCGGCATAAAATACATGTGTTATTCTTGATTTGGTCCAAGCTCTGCACATCTCGAAATTATAACCTGTATTAATGAGATGCAAAGACTTCTGAAGCTATAACAAGTAAAAAAGTAATAAGTTCGGCCGGGCTGAGCTTTGAATACCCTCCACCATTTAGGACGAATCAGGAAATTATCAAAAGATATAAAATCCATTAGAAATTCCGTTAAAATCTTAAAAATACCGAATATCGGAAGGTGCCGATACATGGGGGACATACGATATTGTAGACTTATGTAGACAAATCTATTTCTGGGGGTAAAGTACTCACAAAGAACTCCTTGTGTAGAATTTCAGACAGTTCCGTTTGAAAATGTGGCTAAAATCATTAAAATACCGAATATCGGGGTGCTCCATTATATGGGGGCTATACGATATCGTGGACCTATATAGATAATTATCTTCCAAGGGGATAAAGTACTCAGAAGAAATTCCTTTTTCAGACAATTCCATTGGAAAATGTGGCTAAAATCATCGAAATCGCCTCAGAATTTTACGCCGATCAAGAATACGTGTACTTTGTTGGGTCTAAAATTATTATTTCGATGAATTACAAACGGAATGACGAACTTAATATAACCTCTATACTATGTATGGAGGAGGGTATAAAAAGATTAAATCTTTAAAGACCTCCAACATTACAACTAGTGTGAAGATGGAATGTGTAGGTCCTGGTACCTCCCCCCTCAAATTATCATATGTGGAAGACATATATATGTCGGTAGCCCGATTGTTACTTTCTACATCGTTGTCTTTCTCGTGATTAAACCTATCATACCATGTATTTTGCCATGAAAAATCCACTTTTATTATGATCGTGTCAGAGTAGGCGTATACGTTATTTTATTTAACAATCCAATCTAAATGGGCATCGTTATCAATGAATATTCGATTGATTGCTTAAATGAATGAATGAATCTATCCGTACACATCTCAATTTCAATTATATTCCACTCGCATGGGAACTGAGTTGGCATCTGATATCAGAGATCTCCTCATCACATTTAGCTGGCAAATGAAAACGAAATTCAAAAAGAGGCCGACTTTCTTATTATGCGTACGCATGGCTTGTAAACATTTTAGATAACCCGACTGGCTAAGCAGCTTGGCAGACAATCGTAAGTCAGTCTTATGACCGTGCTATTTTTCGCTTGATGATTGATATTTTTGTGAGTGTGTATGTGTGTGAATGAGTAAGCAGCGCATGAAAGTAAACGAGTACGTCCGTTGTTTTTTTATGATCTTCAAAAAAAAAATGTCGTGCTCTTTACGGCATCGTGTGTAGTTGTTGCTATTGATTATTTACAACTTTACTGGGATGTTGGTTGTTTTGTGTGTTTGTTTTGTTGTGGTGCTTTCTGCAGAGAGCGAAAAAAGTGTTATTTCCTCTGCTTGCCAAGGGAATGAATGACGGAAGAAAAAAGGTAAACTCAATGAGATTGAATCCCAATTTGGCAGCTTCGTTGGCTGCTGCTGCTGCTGTGCATGCTCAGTTTACACACTGCCTTATTTACCCTCTCTGTTAAAAATAAGTAATTTGCCATTGCTGTTGTTGTTGCTGCTATTTTTGCTCCAACGCAAGACAGAAAAAAAAACCTAAAACAATGTTTGCTTTTGTGAATTATTTTGTAATGGCTTCAATTTTTTGGTTAAACTCTGAAAATTTTGTGAGTTTTGACTGCTTGGCCGCTGCAGAAAAAAGAAAACCTCTTTACCGTATATAAAGCAGCTGCTCTCAAGAAGTTGACATCAAAAGCATCTTAACCATCATTAGTGTTGCACGCAACCATCGAACTTACCGAAAAAAGATCAGCAGCCTTCAAAGGATTACATAATTCGTGTCGTGTAAAAATAAAACAAATTTAGAAAATGAAAGTATTCGCCATCGCCACCGTTTGCCTGGTCGTCGCCAGCTGTGCCTGGGCCGCTCCCAGTGTACAAGATAATAAAATCGAAAGTGATTCGACCTTTACTCGTGCTGCCCGCTATTTGGGTTCTTGTCTGGAAAGTGACGATATGACCACCTGTTTGGCCGTTAAGGGCATTACGGCCCTTAATCGTGCTGCCCGCAGCAATAACATCGAATTGATCAATGGTGTTACATTCAAGAGGTGTGTGTAAAAGAAAATTGCAAAAAAAAAAATTAAATCTATTCTAAATGAAAGAAAATTGATAAAGAAACATTTCTAAGGAACGAAGAAAAAAAAACAGTGACATTAAAATGAAAATTATGAAATGAAATTGAAAAGAAAAGACAAACTAATATTTAGTGTCAAAAAGCATTAAAAGCTGGAAAATATTCAAACAAAAACGTTTAAAATAGGAAATGCCTGCATATATAATTTTAATATTTAAATAAGTAGTAATGTGATATTCCTAACCACCATCCGCAGTGAAGTTGTACAGGAGAAATAGACCACATGAGATTTGGAAGAAATATTTCTCTTGAACCCCTTATTTTGATCCCATTCACTTTTCATCAATGGTAGCGCCTTTTTAAAATGCTATTTCGTTCAAATTAAAAACTGATCCCAATCTCATAATTACAGAACTCATTTCACACCCGTCAAGCCAACATAAAGTCTTATACTTTGTATATTATTGCTTTGTTTTAAACAGCCGATGGAAAAATCAGTTTTTTGGTCCTTCGTTTTGACCTTTAATGTGCGGAAAAGTTTCAATTGAAATTTGTCTAGATGTACTTTCTCTTATATTATAATAAATTACCTAATCTTCTTAGGTTTAGTTGTCTCCGTGGACACACTTCTCAAGCAATAGCTGAGCATTAACCTGTTATTTGATGTTTCGTCTGTGTCATGCTTGAGTTTTGTACAAGCCATTTTTGAATTCTTGAGATATTGGTAATTTCTAAAGTTTTTGATCAGTTCTCGGATATCTGGTTAATTTTTCGAGATATCCAGCTTAAGTTTGTAAATTTGCCGGAGTTTCTAGCGAGCCAGTGTATCTTTTTTATTTTTTTTTTTTTTTGACCTTTAACAAAAAATTATATTTTTCGATATCGTCCAATCAACTGAAAATCTATTGTCGATTGTGTATTTTTATACCAAGTCGATGTTTTTCTTTCTTTCTTTCTTTCTGACACACTTTTGCAGAATTATTGGTTTTACCCCTTTTTTTGGAAAAAAATATATCCCAAATTCTAGCACTTATGGCGTGTGATCTTTAAAATCATAAGACAGCTTAAATACAATAATACAAAATACAATACCTATTTTTTTTCAGTATTTATATAACGTCATTCTAATATTAGATATTAAAATGACTTCAGTTCTTGGAAGGTTCAAAGTGTCAAGTATTAATATTACATAGTCTGCTTTACATTTTTTTAAATTTTATTGAATGAAAGCAAAAAATGTCGGAAATGGCATCAAGTTTTAAAATAAGTTTAGATTTGTTCGAATTGGTCACCTTTGGCACGATTATGACCTTCAAACGGCCAATGAAACCGTCATACGCTGTCCGAATGTTCCTCTGCGGTATTTTGACCCATTCCCGGCGAAGCGCTTGCTTAAGGTGATCGACACTTTGGTATTTTTTATTGCCAACCCTGTTTTCCAAAATACTCCAGACACAATAGTCCAACGGAAATGAAGCGAGGAACCTCATTTTGTAACCATTGTTGGAATGTCCAAGGTCTGCGGCAAAACACCCTCCAGAATATTTTCGTGATACTATTCGGCATATATTCTGATGCAACGGTCGGTTAATACGAGAGGAGAACGACCATCGGCTGTTATGGCTGCCCACACCATCACCATGGCCGGTGCTTGAGTTCTGGTGGCCAACCGAAGGTGCACATTTTCAGCTGACCTCTTTGGCAAGTAAACACGATCATTTTGTTTGTTTACAAACTGCTGGACAACGAATGCTTTGTCATCGGAGAAAACCAAATTCGGCAGCTCACCTCTTTTAAAACTGCCCGTCAAAAACTGTAACATCGATATTATCTTAAGCCGACTTAGGCTTAGACTTTTTGTTGTCTAGTCTATATGTCGATATTTGATCGACATTTGATATTTGGAGAAAACTCTTAAAGTCGAAGTCCTCATTTATTTGTGGTAAAAATGGCAATGAGGACCTGTCATAATCACAAAATTAAATCGAAAAGATTTTAATTTTAGTACGAACCAAAAATTGTGTAACGAAAAGAGTAAAAGTCAATTTATGCAATCGATTTTCTGCATTGAAAAATCTGTATTTCGGAGTAAATTTTTATTTATTTATTTATTTATTTATTTATTTTTTTTTTTTTTTTGTAGAAATCAGGAAGTCGATATTCGATACGATTATATAATCCAAGTTTTTATGGGATTTTTTAGATCGAAATCGAGTTAAAACCGGTATTTGACCGAAAAGTCGAATTTTTTGTTAATCCCAAAATTAAAATTATTAAAAGGCGATGTTTTCAGCCGAATTTTTCTGTATGAACAAGTCTTAATATCGGAGACAATTAGTACTTCTTCTAAACATATCAAAGTCGAATTTTCGTAATCGATTTGGCATATTGTGATGATAAATGTTTGATATTTTTTTATTTGGCCCAAAAAATATGCAATAATTAAAGCAATACCACAAAAAGACTGTTCTCACCATCAGTTTAAAAAACTTGGCCTCAAAAATCTTAAATCGAAATCCACTGCTGTTGGTTTGGAAATCAAAAATCAGTCCAATCCATCAATAACCTTAATTTAATTTTTTCTTTTCACATTCTTAATAGTTCTTATTCAAGCTGTAAATTTTCTATCCTGACAAATGACATTGGATGGTGGAACTTATACCAAATGTTCCAAGTTTTCACAGATTTGATTAGTAAATATTGTCAATTTTTAGAATACATCCATATCAATAAAGCCAAGATTTTTCATTTGTCCAACATTAATTTTGACCTCTGATTTCTTCTTTCTCATAATTTTTTGTAACTATTTGCAAAAGAAATCAAAACGTTTCCAATTTCGCACAATATTTCAGATATCTTTTGTAATATTTCCAATATTTCAATTATTTTGAAACTTAAACTAAATTCCATTGTTTTCCTTCATTCATTAAACAGAGATCCTGCCACTCCTGTTCAACGTGCCGGACGTGCCATGAGCGAAAATGATGTCTACTCCCAATTGCCCGAAGATTCTGATGAACGCGCTGGTCGTTTGGTTGATATGGCCGTGGAAAGTGCTACTGATTTCTTGGGCTCCCACAACTTGGAAGTTAAGGTACCTGCTGAAGCTACCCAAGAAATTGCCCGTGCTTTGGATGAAGGTAAAATAAACTAGCACTTAACTCCCTATATCTTCAATCTACAAAAATATATATATTTTTCTATAATTATATAGGTCGTGGCAAATTGAAGAAAATGATTGGACCCATTGCCTTGGCCATCGGTGCTAAAGTTTTCGCCATTGTACCCCTCTTGTTGGGCGGTTTGGCTCTGTTGACCACCAAGGCCATCATTGTTGCCAAAATCGCTTTGTTCTTGGCTCTTTTGTTAGGCGGCTCCAAATTGTTCGGTAGCAAATTGGGTGGTTCCTTGGGCGGTGGCTATAGCAACAATGTTGGTTGGTCTGGTGCCTCCACCGGTGGCTGGTCATCGGGTGCATCATCTGCCTACCCTTACGCTCGCAGCATGAATGATGCCCAAGAATTGGCCTATGCCGGACAAGTAAATGAACAATAGATCGTTGCAACGCGGCGACTTTTATTGTAAAGCCAAGCATTTACATGCCAAAAATGTGCCTTTTTCGATTTTGTGACCCCCTATTGGGGAAATCGAAAAGTACCATTATGGTCTTAGTTTGTAGTAATTTATTGAAAAAAAAGACAACACAAATTAATTTATTTTAATTTATTGAAAACGAATACGCTGAATAAATAAGAATAATAATGAAAAAATAAGTAAATATTTGTTATTTTTGTTAACATTCACTGACGCCCAATCACCCGTAATCGAAAATATGTGACATTCTAGTTCATTCCATGAAACGAAAACACCTCACTTAATTACCAATAGCTGTTACACCTAAATTATTTATTTAACATTATTTGTACAAATCATAGATGAAACAATCAAAATGAACAATAATTTTTCTAATTGTTATTTGTTTTTCATTTATATTTTTCGTACTTCGGGGACAAAGAGCCAGCTGTAGCTTCAAATAAGGCAAGCATTCAGATGTTATGAAAGCGAGGGCCTAAAATTCGCAGTGCCAGGCATATAATTACAAGTAAAAAAGCAGTAAGTTCGGCCGGGCCGAACTTTGAATACCCTCCACCATTTGGAACGAATTAGACAATTTTCAAAAAAAAAAAAAAAAATAAATAAAATCCATTAAAAATTCTTTTAAAATCTTTAAAATATCTAATATAAGAAGGTGCCGATATGTGGGGATATACGATATTGTGGACTTATAAAGACAAATCTATGTCTGCGTGTAAAGTACTCACAAGGAACTCCTTGTGTGGATTTCCAAAACACCGAATATCGCGAGGTATCGTTATATGGGAGCCATATGTTATCGTTAACCTATATAGAGAATTCTCTGTCGGGGGGTAAAGTGCTCACAAAGAACCCCTTGTGTACAAAGAACCCCTTGTGACCATTCCGTTGAAAAATATGGCTAAAAACATCAAAATACCGAATATCGGGGGTACCGTTATATGAGGGCTACACGATATCGTGGACCTTTACAGATAATTCTCTGCAGAGGTATAAAGTACCTACAAGGAACTCCTTTTGTGGATTTTCAGACAATTCCGATGAAAAATGTGGGTAAAATCATAAAAATAAAAATAAAAACGATAAAGCCCATCTTCGAACTTGACCTGCCTGCAGACAAAAGAGAGATCTGTGCAAAATTTTAGCTTTCTATCTTAATTCGTTTAGACTGTAGCGTTATTAAAACAGACGGACGGACAGGGCAAAATCGTCGTAGAATTTTACGCTGATCAAGAATATATATACTTTGTTGGGTCTAAAATGATTATTTCGATGAGTTACAAACGGAATGACGAACTTAATATACCCTCCATACCTTTTTTGGTGGAGGGTATAAAAATAGTAATGAATAGTAAACTTACACTTTGCACGATTGGATTGCTTTTGTTTGTGCGCAAATGCTCAAATAAGGAAACACTTAGACATGATGGCAGAAAATAAGAAACATAGGAAAATAAAACCCTCGTATAAAAACCTAGAAAGTAACAAACTGGTTTATAAATGGAACCTTAAATTTAAGATCTCTTTTAGTAGCATTGAATTCGAAGGTCTAATTCCAACCGAGATTTGGACGTCGCAATATATTTTTCAATTTTATACCCTCCACCATACTATGGAGGGTATATTAATTTTGTCTTTCCGTTTGTAACGCCGACTATATGATACCCTACACCACTATGCGTATTTAGTAGAGCTCCCGTAGCAAAATAATTTATTTCAAGGATATCATACCACCTATGAACATTTTGCTTTAGAGTAGTTATAATTTGCTATAGTGAGTATGATATCACTTGACGAAGAATTATAATAAAAAAAATACACAGGGTGCGATGAAAAAACTGCAATCAAATTCAGACCGCTGTCATTTCTAAGCCACTCGTCCGACAACTGTTAAAATTATTTCAGTGTCAACTCATTACATTATTTACAAGCGTACAAAAGCAATTTTCCAGAAAAAAATTATTCGTGATGGAATTCATGCGTGATAGTGTGATTTCTTTATATAACATCACAAGTGGCTATAGTTAGAGCACTCCATCATTTAAATGTGAATAAATCTTTTGTGTCTCGTACCATCGCCCATTAGTGTGATACTGGTAGCGCAGCAACATCAGCAGAAATGGTTCGAAAAGAAACGACTTGATCGAAACCCGCGTCGCAATGGCGGGAAAATGGTTCGTGACCTGAACATATCGCAATATTCCATTCGCCAAATATTGAAAAATGAACTCGGGGTAGAGCCATTAAAACTCCAAAAGTGCAAGATCTTACACCGCAACAGAGAGAAAACAGACTCAAAAGAGCTAAAGAGTTGCTTCGATTGGCCGAAAGTGGTGAACTGCCGAATATGGTTTTCTGGTTATTCTGGAATGGTTACAAAATGAGGTTCCTCGCTTCATTTCCAGTGCACAATGGCCACCAAAATCTCCGCATACCAATCCGTTGGACTATTGTGTCTGGAGTATTGTGGAAAGCAAGGTTGGCACTAAAAAATACCAAAGTACCTCAAGCAAGCGCTGGGCCAAAATTCCACAAAACAACATTCGAGCAGCGTGTGACGGTTTCATTGGCCGTTTGAAGCCCATAATTCGTGCCAAAGGTTACCAATTCGAACAAATCCAAATTTATTCTAAAATTTGATACTTCCGAAATTTTTTACTTTTATACAATAAAATTTAAAAATAAAGTAAAAATTATGGCGTTTGACTTTAATACGACTAAAAGTGCCTTATTGAAATAACGGTTTTAAGTACTAGGTTTCTTTGGACCAAATACGTTTTAGTTTGTTGGCTCGTATGTCTGTCTGGCTTATGCGCACGAGTATCCGATTTGATCTAAACTAGGAACAATGTAATCTATATATATAAAAGAAAGTTGTGTTAGTTACTACGCTTATAACTTAAGAACCGCTGGACTGATTTTAACGATTCATACAAATTCGGAATTGTCTCCTCTCCGAAAAGGATAATATCCAAAAAAATCGCGTAAAAATGTGATATATTAACATTTTTATTTTGACTTTTGAAATGTACAATAGTAATGTTTTATTTTGCATGATTTTTTTCCATTTTGACTTACTTTTTTCTAATGTACATTTGTAGTGTTTTTTATATTTTACTTTTTAATTCGAATATTAATACCAATTTATTTAATTAACATGGAAGTGTAGAACCGAATTATGTGGTGGCGGATCGGAATAGATGATATCGAAATAATTTAACGCGGTCACACCAAAGTTAGAAGATAATAACCTTTTCAAAATCGCTAAAAAAAATTACGAAAAAAGAGATCTCATTACAAAAATTCTCAAAACGGGAAAATATCGAAAAAAAATGTCCAATGGAATTGAATTTTAAAATAAAAGTACATACTATTGACAAACTTTGTAAGGATCTTTAAACAGTTGCTGTAAAAAATCAGCGAACAAGTTGAAGTTTTTTTCAATTTGTTGTTATTCTTTTGTCATTTTTTTTCAATTTGTATTATCATATTGAATTCAGTGGATTTTTTGTGAACGAAATAAAGAATAATTTTTCACTATATACAATTTTTCACCAAAAAATGAAATAAGTGCGAAATACGATTGTAACTAAGATCTAACTTTCAACTCCAGGGCCTACATCGTGCATCAGCTGGAAGATGCGCAGACATTTAAACAAACAAAAATGACCGAAAAAGACTAATGGGGCTCATTTCAAAGCGTGGACCTACTTCTTTCATGTGACAATAATCCGTCCAATGAGAGCTCAAAATGCAAAAATTTTTGGGACTACAATCAGTAAAGTACCAAATATAAAGGGTGCAAAATAGTAAAGCGAATGGGACTTTTAGTAAGAAAAGGATTTCTATCCTTCCAAAAATTCTTCCCGAACATTTAAGATACCTTAAATCGCTTTTGCATGACCTGCAATATGATATATGATATCGATCATAAATAACCATAGTATGATTTAAGCTATTTTTGGAGTCTTCGTCATTTTCTTCTATTTTTGGCCCTTATTTGGCATCTTTGTTTCTAAGGGAGTAGAAAATTCTCGGAGTAGGGCCCATATTGGTCTTGACCACTAAAAAATTGTAATTATGCTACCCTGGCGTAAGGAACCATCGTACAGATAATTGCCACATAGAAATTTATTCATGTAAAGTCCCCACATTGGAGTAACCCAAGTCCACTTTCACATCTAATGTGTGGTCAGAAAAGAAAATTTTGTATTCTATTGAATTTGTAACCCCCAAGAGAATATTGGTTGGGAACGTAGATATAGATGTACATCCCAAATCAAATAAATTGTGAAAAACAAGAACAAATTTTAAATATAAGAAAGTAGCACGGGACCGAATATGAGAACTCTAATGCACAATCTGAGGTGTTAATGGGTTTAAAAAAGTAATTAACATTGGCTATTCTTAAATCATTCAGCCCTCAATTATTATTCCAAATTACTGCTCATTTGACTAAAAACTAAAAATTAATCGACCAGTACATGAACACTTATAACAGTCATATCTTTGAATAATTATGCTTTGACAAATATGCATAATAGACTAAAACTACGGGCCGGCAACGCGGACAGGGTCAGCTAGTATTATTATAAAACTTGGATCGGGTTTGGACATGGGCAACATCAGAAAATAACTTACCATAAGGGACAAGAAAGGATGATTCAATTTTGTGCAAACTTTGCGAATACCAATACTTGTGGCAAAAAAGAGATCCTCATACCAAAATTCATAATATTTCTACACTATATGCCAAATGTAGCATCATGTAGTACATTTCGTACAAATCCACACCGTTAACCCAGAGCTAGACACTCATAAAGATTCATTTATCAATAATAACAATTAAAGATCCCTTAATGAGCTAATTAGCCAAAATTAGTATAATTTTGTACCTTTCGTACACTTATTGCAAGTATTTCTAGAAAAACTATTTTATCTAAATTGTAGCCACAAAAAGTGACCCCAGTATCAACATTTCAAAAGTCCAGATCCATCTGTTCACCCAAAAATATTTTTTTTTTTATCAAATTTAGTACCATTTAGTACAGTTCCCATCCTTAGTAGACATTTCCAAATACACCTCCTAATGCCAAAACTACTTCTCAAATTTAATTTCCAAATTCCGTGCATTTCAGAACTTTTAGTGCACTGATTGTTCGTATTTCTCAATCGTCTCTTCTACACAACTTTAGACCCCTATTCTATATTTTAGATTTACACCTCTATACCTGGCCTAAATGCCAAATTTAAAAATTGTCGATTTTTTATACCCTCCACCATACATAGTATGGAGGGTATATTAAGTTCGTCATTCCGTTTGTAACTCATCGAAATAATCATTTTAGACCCAACAA